TGGTCCCAAGGACTGCTAAGTTAAAACTGGATTTACCTGTGATTGATTGTCCTAATAAGTAGACATGCCTAGATCTCACAGGCTGTAATGAATGGAGTTTGTTGTGAAGAATGCAACAATAGTCAATGGGATTTTGGTTAGTTAATATTATCTCCTTTATTTGAACTTTCTGCTTCTAAATGTGAGATACAAGGGTGATGGCCCTTCACATTTTCTCAAACATATATTTTAAAAACAGCTATATTCCTCTACCTCCCCCACTTCCTCCTCCCCCTCTTTATGAGAAATCATAAATCTGTTCAGCTTTGGTAACCAACATTTCCTAAACTTCTTTAATCAGATGGTATCAACACTTTACAGGACAAATAGCAAACTCAATATCCAGTTTATTTCTACATATCATTTTGGAATCCTGGTATCAAGAAAATCCTGAGTCATGAAGATAAGTTATGAAAGTTTTGTTTTGTTTTGTTTTAAAGATTTTATTTATTTTTTGACAGCAAGAGAGGGAACACAAGCAGGGGGAGTAGGAGAGAGAGAAGCAGGCTTCTGGCTGAGCAGGGAGCCCGATGTAGGGTTCGATCCCAGGACCCTGGGATCATGACCTGAGCTGAAGGCAGACGCTTAACAACTGAGCCACCAGGCACCCCACTTATAAAAGTTTTTAATCTTGGGCGCCTGGGTGGCTCAGTTGGTTAAGCGACTGCCTTCGGCTTAGGTCGTGATCCTGGAGTCTCTGGATCGAGTCCCGCGTCGGGCTCCCTGCTTGGCAGGGAGTCTGCTTCTCCCTCTGACCCTCCCCCCTCTCATGTGCTCTCTCTCATTCTCTCTCTCTCTCAAATAAATAAATAAAATCTTTTAAAAAAAAAGTTTTTAATCTTGCCATTTTAAGATTTTCTTCAATGAGTCAGAGATGATGGAAGAACTTTATTCCTAGTCCCGCACAAAAACTAGTTAAACTGGTAACTCAGACTAAGGTATTGGTGGACTCTAGTATTAGAATATGGTATATTAATACATTTGAAAGCATATATTATTTCTAATTAAAGATTTTAGGGGCGCCTGGGTGGCTCAGTTGGTTAAGCGACTGCCTTCGGCTCAGGTCATGATCCTGGAGTCCCGGGATCGAGTCCCACATCGGGCTCCCTGCTCAGCAGGGAGTCTGCTTCTCCCCCTGACCCTCCCCACTCTCATGCTCTCTCTCTCTCATTCTCTCTCTCAAATAAATAAATAAAATCTTTAAAAAAAAAAAAAAAAAAAAAAAGATTTTAAACATACAAATACCAGCCTTTAAAAAATGAAATTCTGTTGATGAAATCCTGGAGTATCTATCCCTAAAGTCCTTAGAAGCTGTAAAATGGAGTGAATCTATGGTGCATTTTCCCTTGAAATTTCACAACTTCCTCCCAAGCCTCTCTTCTCTCTGCCTACCTGGCTGTAGTCTCTCTTCTGTGTTATTGAGGGAATCTTGCAAGATATTTCAGATATTTCAGAATAAATTGGAAGGGGAAAAAAAATGAACATTCCCAAACTTCTACATAATTTGTGATCACTGTGTACAGATATATCAACCTTTTCCACAGTTCTTTAAAAAGAATCTGTTGGGGCACCTGGGTGGCTCAGTCGTTAAGCGTCTGCCTTCGGCTCAGGTCATGATCCCAGGGTCCTGGGATCAAGCCCCACATCGGGCTCCCTGCTCAGCGGGGAGCCTGCTTCTCCCTCTCCCGCTCCACCTGCTTGTGTTCCCTCTCTCGCTGTGTCTCTCTCTGTCAAATAAATAAATAAAATCTTTAAAAAATAAAAAAAAATTAAAAAAAGAATCTGTTAAGGTAGATAACATTTCATTATTTACCTGAAAAGCCAATTTTATATATAATCTATGTCACCTGTCACCATAGTATTAGGACAGTCAAAGCATGTTATGCCAAATGTGTTCATCTAAGAAAAAAAAAAATTATCTCCTGAAATCTTTCTTTTCCCAAGCCATCATTTAATGGATGCTAATTATGTCATTTTCTTTCAAGGGGACCTAACATTATTTCTTCATTTGAAAATAGAACATGGGGGCGCCTGGGTGGCTCAGTTGGTTAAGCAACTGCCTTCGGCTCAGGTCATGATCCTGGAGTCCCTGGATCGAGTCCCACATCGGACTCCCTGCTCGGCAGGGAGTCTGCTTCTCCCTCTGACCCTCCCCCCTCTCATGTGCTCTCTCTCTCTCTCTCTCATTCTGTCTCAAATAAATAAATAAAATCTTGGGCGCCTGGGTGGCTCAGTTGGTTGAACGACTGCCTTCGGCTTAGGTCGTGATCCTGGAGTCTCTGGATCGAGTCCCGCGTCGGGCTCCCTGCTCGGCAGGGAGTCTGCTTCTCCCTCTGACCCTCCCCCCTCTCATGTGCTCTCTCTCATTCTCTCTCAAATAAATAAATAAAATCTTTTAAATAAATAAATAAATAAATAAATAAAATCTTTTTAAAAAAAGAAAATAGAACATGCTTTTTCAGAAAAAAAATAGACTCTTTTTTGTTTTTAATAAAAGCTGTCCTTGACCTACTGATAATATGTTGCAAATAAATGACTTTAGAGAAAGAGTTTTCTTCATGTCGGTGCTGTTACTGTGCGTCATTGCTCTGTAAAAGTATGTGTAATAGAGCACAAACACTCATAGGTGCTTCTGTTTTATGTGGTTAAGAACTTCTTCGAACTTAAACACCTAAGGGAGATGGGTGCCTGATAACAGAACAGAAGGTGTTTATTTCAGCTCCTGTTTACAATTCTTGACTGTTTTTCATTACTTCAATCATAATTTTTTTCATCATGGTATCATGATTAACTTTGACCTAATTCATAAAATGGAGGATACATCTACTGATAGGGGAGGAAAGAGAAGAAAACTAATTTTCTGTTGAGCACCTGCCCTGTGCCAGGCCCCCTGCCAGACCACTGTCCATACATTAGGCCAGTGAGGAGCTTCTTATTAGTAAAACTCCAGCGTTCATGTCTGTACCATAAAGGCAGAAGAAACACGAATACTTTACATATAAAATTAAGCATCTCAGACCCAATTCAGCTTAAGAAACCACCTATTAAATTTATTTTCCCACAAAGAAAGAGGGCTTACATAGTTTTAAAATTAGAATGTCCAAGTCTATTTCTTCATTCCAGTACAGTTTTCACAGATGGCTTTTGATCTTATCAATGTAAATCTGTCTCAAACTCTTAATTTAGTTTTAAATATCAAATCACCTAATACTCTACCACCATATTTATCCTTTAGAATCCTTTTATTTTAAAACAGCATTGAACTTTGTATTTAAATAGCCATAATTGAATTTTTTTCCCCAGTGTAACTACAGCAGATGTATTTTTACAATCTATTAAAATAATTCCCAATCATTTTCCCTTTGTTTGGAATTATACTTTTTGTTCGGAATGAGAATGTGTGCATAAATAGGTTCATTTCCATTTATAGCTAGAGTAAGCAAAGTTTCATTCTGTAATCCTAATGAAATGTAGAATGCTTAGTTTGTGAGAATAAGTTCTGGAAGTCTGAGTTCAATAATTTTAGTGTTAGAAGTGAAATTTATATATGATCTTGGTCTTGGACCTGTTTTACAGATGATGGAACAGAGCCAGAGAGGTAAAATGGGTTGAATGAAAAGAGTTCAGGGGCACCTGGGTGGCTCAGTCGTTAAGCATCTGCCCTTGGCCCAGGTCATGATCTCAGGGTTCTGGGATCGAGCCCCGCATCGGGCTCCCTGCTCTGCGGGAAGCCTGCTTCTCCCTCTTCTACTCCCCCTGCTTGTGCTCCCTCTCTCGCTGTGTCTGTCTCTGTCAAATGAATAAATAAAATCTTTAAAAAATATAAATAAATAAATAAGAGTTCATAGGTTAGTGATGTTTCAGAAGTGAAGTATCAGTTAAAATAATCTGATTATTTTTGCTTTTGATCTATTAAGGGAAATTTTTAAAAATAGAGGAAAAAGAAAAGTGAAAGTTAAAATTATTTTTAACCTAACTAGTTAGCTTGTCATTTTGAAGTGCTAATTTAGGCAACTAGATAACATGAATAGTTGCATGAGTCTGTTCTTTTGCCTAGTAATCAATCTCGCAGTTCGCTTCAAGGAGACTTATGCAGAATATCTAACATTTGGTGATATTACTTGAGAAAGATGTATTTCTCCCTACTTCTTGCATGAGCAGAATAGTTCTTTAGCTGTGCAGTGCTTGTTGGGGATGAGGAGCAGCAAAAAGAGCCAAACATTCACTGATATGGCTATTTTCCTAGTTCTACTGGGCACGAGAAGCCATGTAACTTGCTTGAGATCACACAAGTTTGTGTGGCCTAGAAAATTGATTATCCATCTTCCAACCTAATACTATTTTCGTAAGAAATAATGATAATAGTAGCAGCTTATATTTATTGAATGTTTGCTATATGTTAACCAGTAGCCAATCATTTCACACCAACTTCCCATCTAACCTTCATAACTGCTTTATTCTCAGCTTACTGGAAATTGAGGCACAGAGGAGTTTGTACAACTACCTTCAGAAGCTTCAGTCATCCTTTTCTTCCCGTGGTGTTTTAGACTGCAAACAGGCTTCTTTTTCCCAAGATAAGCCAATGCTGATTTACAGCTTTATCTTGGGTATAGAAATAGAGTGAGACGGGACGCCTGGGTGGCTCAGTCAGTTAAGTGTCTGCCTTCTGCTCAGTTCATGATCCCAGGGTCCTGGGATCGAGCCCCGCAGAGGGGCTCCCAGCTCAGCGGGGAGCCTGCTTCTCCCTCTGCCTGCCGCTCTCCCTGCTTGTGTATTCTCTCTCTGACAAATAAGTAAATAAAATCTTTTAAAAAAAGAAAAAGAAAATGGAGTGAATTATGACTGGTCCAAAATCTCATTTTGTGCTCATAGACTTGACTAGGGTCTAAGATTTGTAATAAGTAAATTTATATATTATTTTGTAAAGACAGTTTTTAATTTGTTGGCACGTCTTCAAACAGGAACTTCCAGAGAGTCAATGCAAAGCATCCCACATTATCTACAAATAAATGAAGTACTATTAATCAGCGATCAAGAATTTCTCCCATGCCATATAATGGATCAGCATTGGAAGTTCTATGTGGAATGTGAAGAGCTAACATTCTAAAACCTTATTTTTGTAATAATTTATTATACATGTGTTCATGTTATTAACCCACATTCATATCTTATCTTATATGGGCTGGAGGGCCTATTGTAACACACACTTCATGCGTTGCTACTTAAAATGTGTTTATGGTGTAAGAAAAAATATAACTCAAATTATTGTAGTAAGATTAATACCTTTTTGCCATTGAAATAAAGGCATTTTTGAATTAAAACATATTGATTCTCTGGCTTTGATTTTACTAAAATAAATGTAAAACTAATATTTCAATCAATACCTCAACCTTTGTATAAATTACAGTTGTTCCTTAAGGGAAGTAAGGATAAAAAGAGTGATAATTGGTCCGTAGAAGGCCCAGATAAAGTGAATCTACTTAAAACAAGAATTTAATGCCCCAGTACCTTCGCCCATATACTTTAGAATTTATCTTGTAACCAAAATAAAAAATTGTCAAAGAGGTTTATTTTAAATTTCATAAAAGTTAGCATAAAACTGTAACAGTGGTAAGTCATAGAACAACAAAAATGAATCAAATGTTGATTAGGGGGCTTGTTTTAAATAGGATACTTAACCTTTGACTTTTGCTACATTATCATCATGAAGATTTTCTTTTTTTTAAGAAAGATTTTTATAAAAGAAACTTAGTGAAGTTTTCTCAAGGGACTGCCTTCCTCCTTTGATGGCCATTTTATTCTTTACTTGTCACCATCCCAAGCTCCCAGAGAAGCTTTTTGACTTTGTGGCTTGAGTCCATCCTTTCTTAATTGGGGAGAGAAGTCGAGCTGTGGTAAAAATTACTCTTACAAGTGCTAGACTTTGGGAGATATATTTTTTTTATGTTTTCTTATTGTAAATGTACAGAATCTTAAATATCTTTGGAATATATAGGAAACTGGTTAACGGTTTCCTGTGGGTAGAAAAATCATGGGGCTGGAGAGCTGAAAAGGGAGATTTTTAACTACATGTGCTCTTTGGCAACTTTTGAGGTTGATAATATGTATGTGTTCTTACTATTCAATTAAAAGTTTTAATTATCTGAAGAGCACCTGGAAAGGTTTCATATTAATAAAAGTGTAAAGACGGCTTAGATCATTTTTTCTTCTTGTGAGAGTCCATTGAAAATATTTAGGTTAGAATGCCCCTACATGTTGTAATATTTGAGAACTGACAAGTTTATTATGCCATCATTTTCTTAGACTACACTCTTTTTCTAATTCTTGAATAATGTACATGAGGTGGTCTATTTGGCTTTTATTTAAGGAGATATTTAAAACATGACTCATTTGCGAATATATGTACTAACATGGGAAGTTGTATATATAAATGAAAAAAATGCACATTGTTAAACGGTGGTTAATACAAGTCCTGATTGGGGTGCCTAGGTGGCTCAGTTGGTTAAGCATCTGCCTTGAGCTCAGGTCATGATCCCAGGACCCTGAGATCGAGCCCCACACTTCTCCCTCTTGCCCCTGCTCATGCTTTCTCTCTCTCAAATAAAATCTTTTTTAAAAAAATACAAGTCCTGATTGTGTTAAATAAAAAATGTGCTTTTGAGTGTGTGTATAATATATATAGCCATATAAATATGCATGTATTTATATCATGTATGCTATATATACTTGATGAGTCATGAAATGTGTACTTGTATATATGAACATGTGGGGGGGGGGGTAGAGGTATGTTGAGTAAAAGGTCTGGAATGCCACCAAGAAAAACATTTGCCATGTCTGGCCCTAAGGGAGTTGGACTGGGAAGGGTGGAAGGATACTTTTGGAGTGTACTTTCAACTTAAGAAAAACAACACATATTTCTTTTGAAACTTAAAAAAGTATTTTTTAAAGAAGAACTTAAAAAGATACTTTGCTTAGTTATTATAATTTACGAAAGTCATATATTCTAAGTCTATAGTATAAGAACTTAAAGATCTGACTTTTCATGTTAATGATCAAATTCTTAAAGTTTATTTCCTAAGCCCATTTAAAAAAATGTATATACCAACTGGTAAATAACATAACACCCAGTGCCCTTGAGGCATACTGAGTGTTGCCCAAACTAAATAAAAGGGTCTACTCCAACCAGGGTTGGAGTATATGTTACACCATATCATCCCTGAGAGAAGACAACATTTTGGATGGTTGCTAGATGTTTTGTCTTTTCTGGGTTGAAACCCCCAAGCTTCTGGCCCTAACCCGTATAAGGGACCTCCAATAATAGCTAATAATCCAATCTCCTGCCTGATATTTGTATCCTTTCTATAACATTAACTTCTTGAACACCTCTGGGATACTCCATACCCAATAAGGAAGCCTATTCCTTTCATACAGGTAGTCCTAAGTGTTAGAAAGCTGGAACCACAATGTCCCAGGCCTCGCAATCTTATTAGGATAAAAATACTTCTGTTCATAAAGTCGAATTATTATGGCACAGACTTCCACAGGCCCAATTGCTGAGAATGTCCAAGCATACATCTTGTCCTTTTCTCCTCAATTTCTCTTTCATTTGGTTCCCTTCAGCTTACCTCCCTGAGTTCAGTCATTTATCAGTGCATGTCTAGACTGTATGCAACAGGAATCCTGCTCCATTTCAACCCAGTTCTTTACTTTTACTTTATAAAACCTATGGCATGCTATGCCAAATTATTCTTAAAGATCTCTTTTCCTTCCCTGCTGCTGCAAGAGTAAAATGTAGGCCCAACATTAAAGGCCCATGATTCTCTGGTCCTAACATAACCTTCCAGCTTCATCTCCCAATAATCTCTAACCTTTGACTCACTCTTTTTTTTTTTTTTTTTAAGATTTTATTTATTTATTTGAGAGAGAGAGTGAGAGAGAGAAAGAGCACAAGAGGGGAGAGCGGGAGAGGGAGAAGCAGACTCCCTGCCGAGCAGGGAGCCCGATGCGGGACTCGATCCCGGGACTCCAGGATCATGACCTGAGCCGAAGGCAGTCGCTTAACCAACTGAGCCACCCAGGCGCCCACCTTTGACTCACTCTTAAGAGCAAGTTATTCTTTCCTCTTCCCTGTTAGAGTCCGAATTGTATTCCCTCAAAATTAATATGTTGAAGTCCTAACCCCTGAGACCTTAGAATGTGACTGTATTTGGAAATAGGACCTTTAAAGAGGTGGTTAAGGGGCACCTGGGTGGCTCAGTCATTAAGCGTCTGCCTTCGGCTCAGGTGATGATCCCAGGGTCCTGGGATGGAGTCCCACGTCGGGCTCCTTGCTCAGTGGGAAGCCTGCTTCCCCCTCTCCCACTCCCCCTGCTTGTGTTCCCTCTCTCGCTATCTCTCTCTCTGTCAAATAAATAAAATATTTTTAAAAAAACAAATAAATAAAAATAAAGAGGTGGTTAAGTTAAAATAAGGCCAGTAAGGTAAATCCCAATATAATCTATTGTCCTTATATGAAGAAATTTGGACACATAAAGGAATACCACGGATGCACGTGCACAAAAAGACCATGTGAGGACACAGTGAGAAGGCAGCCATCTGCACACCAAGGACGGAGAGCTCAGAATAAAACCCACGCTGCCAACTCCTTGATCTTGGAGATCTATGCTCCAGGACTATGAGAAATAACTTTCTTTTGTTTAAGCCACCCAGTTTCGGGTATTCCTTTATGGCACTCCGAGCAAGTTAATACAATCCCTAACTCTCCCATACATTTGCTTATACTACCTAGAATGTTCCCTCTCCTGTCCATTGATGTGTTCTTTATTCTTTGAACCCTCTCCTCATATAGGATCTCATGTAGTGCGGTCTCAGACCACCCCGATCCAAGCACTTAATATTTATAGCTTAGTATTACTAGTTTTCATAGCTTTTCTCCCCCAAGTAGCTGGAAAACTTAGCAAGATCAGGTTTAGAGTTTTATACTTTATTTCCTATAAAATATCTCAAACATACTAGATGCTTAAGAAATATCTACCAGTTAGGATGTTTCAGGCACAATAACGGAAAACCCTACTCAAAATGGCTTAAGCAATAAGGAAAACTTACTATTTCCTGTAAGGAGTCCAGACGTAGAAACTTCAGGGTTGGTTAATTCTTCAACTCAACATTATCACTGTTGCTTTCCTCTTCTAGTTCCCTCCACGGTGCCAAGATGGCTCCACTGTTGCAGGCAGATGGACATGTAGAAACAGCGTCATTAGAAGAAGAAAAGAAATACTTGCTTCCAATGCACATCTTTTCTGAACACCACCACCGCCCCAGGACATTGTGTCTCATTGGCAAGAATTGTACCATCTGCCCATTTGTACATCAGTCACTGGCCAGGGAAGTGGGGTTAACCTGACTGGCTGAGAGGAGTAAGTATATGCCCATGTGCAGGAGAGTACTCAGCTAGCTGTACAGATTCCACACTCTGCCAGTAAAAAAAAAAACAACAAACAGAAACAGAAACAAATAAACATGTGAGGGGAGGGGTTGGACTAAGAGCAATATTTATTGAGCACTAAGCAGTCACTGTTACAAGCACTTTCAATGTATTAACTCATTTAATCCTCACCACACCCTATGAGGTAGGAGATACTACTTGCATTTTATGAATGAGGAAACAGAGGTATAGCATGAAGTAACTTGGCTCAAAGTCACACAGCTACCAAGTGGTAAAGCCGGGATTCAAACCTGGTCATCTGGCTTCAGAACTCATGCTATCAGGCATCATATATTTCCTCTCTCTCAACCAAAAGTTTCTGCCTGGATATATATGTTAAGTGATGAAAAGAGTGTTGACATCATTCTGAGTGATGGTGACTATTGACTTCTTCCACCTACACACTCTGAGGGTCAGTGTTTGCTCACTTCGGTGAATGACAGGTAGGGGTCAGGCCAGACAGAGGTGGAAAATGGAAGGCAGAAGTCTTACTGGATGAGTTGTGATATGAACACATTGGTATCTGCTTTTAGGCTCTCTCTTTTTCAACCTAGGGTGTTCCAGGTATAAAGAATGAGTAAAGCTAATTCATCTGAGATATTGCCCAAACTCAATTTTCATAGGGAACTATCTTGTTGTTTTTAAATGAATGCATGTGCCCAAAAGTCCTGGACTTTAAGTCCCTTTGGATTCTCAGTACTTTGAGGGGTAACAGCACATACCCTCCATGTGTGTTTCTTTGGACTCCCTCTCCTATTTGTCCTCAGCTCATTTATGTTGAAGCCTATTTTACA